TTTATGGTATATATATATTAATATAAGTTTTTTTTTTAATTTTCTCACTTCTTTTTACTAATCAATGTTCTTTTTTTTTTGTAACACTGTTTCATCATTAGTGTTAAAGCTGGTATTGTTGTTGATATTGTAATTATCTTTGCTTCACTTGTATAGTCATTTTGTATTTCGCTCGTATCATTGATATATTTGATTGTTCTGATATCCATGCTAGTTCTTTTTAAGATAGGTTTTTCTATCCTATATCTAGTTTTTTTTTTTGCTTGTGAATATACTAATGGCTTTCTTTTTCTGGATAATAGATCTTGCTAATTTTGTCATATTAGTATGTTGCTGAGGTTGTTTTGTAAGTAGCATGATTCTGTTTTTTTTAGTAGTTTCGCTCTTGTATGTACTTAACTAATATCTCTTGGTTATATTGGTATTTGTTATACAATAATATTCATATTATGATAATATTTGTATCATAATGATATTTGTATTACAATGATATTTGTGTTGTAATAATATTTGTATTGCAATGATGTTTATGTTACAACTATATTTGTATTACAATGATATGCATTACACAATGATATTTAAAAAAATAGAAAATGTTAATTATATAGTAAATAGTATATTAAATTAAAAAAATTTTTAATAAAAATTATTTATTTAAATTAATTAAAATTATTTTATATATTAATTTATATAATAAGTTTAATAAAATTAATTAGATTAATAATTAAAAATATTTAAAAAATATATTTATTGTATATTAAAATTTATTAAATAAAAATTTAAAGTATTATAAATATAAATAATTATTAATTTATTTTATAATTGTCTATTGATTAATAGTATTAAGAGCTATTTGAAGTTTATTATCTATATCTTCTTCTATTTCATTATTATTTTCTTCTTCATCTAAATTATTATCATCATCTTTATTTGTATCTTTATTATCTAAAATATTTTTTTCATCTTCAATTTTTTCTAATTCTTTTTAAATACTTTAACTTGTTTAACAATCTCTTTTTTATAATATTCTAAACAATGTTTATAACTTTTATGAAAATTATAATATTCATAATGATAAGAATGTTTACAAATATATATTTGGCCTGTTGAATATCTAATTGAAATTGTACAATGATCACAAACATCTGTTGATAGTAAATGAGCTGTATGATAACCAGTTAGCAAATATTTAAGATCAAAAATTTCATCTAATATTGCTAATATTATCTTTAGTTTTAATTATTTTGCTTTTTTCTATATTTTAAAAAATATTTTGAAAATATTCTAATAAAAATAAACTACTTTTTTTAGTTAAATAATCTAATTGATTTGGTTTATATAGATATGTTTTTTTAATACAAAAAGTATCAAATAATTAATTATTATATATATCTAATAAATATGATTGTTCAATAATACTATCTGTAGTATAATTAATATTAATATTTGCTCATAATCTACTATGAAAATTTTTAACAAAATAATTATTAAAATAAACTAAAGATTATGATATAATATTTGCTAAAAAATGATTAATTTGTTACCAATAAAGATAATCTGATATAAAAACTAATGGTGCTTTGTTATAATTTTTTCTTTTCTATTGTAATACAAATATCTATAATCTAAATAAAGTATTAAAATATTGATTAAAAAATCTAGATCTAAAAAGAATTTCATATATATCCAAAGTTGCAAGTACTAAATTATTTAAAAGATCTATCATTATTCTATATTCTATATCATCACAATTATCTCCAAATTTTGATAAAATTTTTTATGATATTTTTTTTCATCCCTTATGAATTAATTCTAATAATAAATTAATTCTCCAAGGTTTTGGTTTTTTTGCAAATTTTTTAGCTTTAAATATATAAAGAAAAATTTTTTAAAAAATGAATAATAAACAAGAATTACTTGTTTACAAAACTTTAATAAAATATGAAAGGGACCAATAATTAGTATAAAATTACTAATATTTTTAGGAACTATTAAAGAATTAAAATTTGGTATATCAATTTTTTATAATAATATGTTAAAATCTTTCAAATAAAATATTGTTTTTTCCAATCTAGAATTATTGATATAATATCATTTTAAAGATATTGTTGTAATGATTTAATTGAAGTAATCATTTTTAATGCATCTAAATAATCTTTTGTTGAATATAAATTTTGTTTTTATACTCCAATTATTTTAAGATTTTTCATTGATCTTTCTTTTTTACGCTCATTTATAGTATCATCATATATATAAATTGTAAGTAATTCAATTTGATCTTGATTTTCAAAATCAATATTATTATTTATCCAATTAAGTTTTTGTATATTATAACTAATATCAAATATATCTTGAATATTAGAATATAAATATTCTATAATTAATATATCATCAATATTGTTTAGATTAAAAAATAAGCAATTATTATATAGATTATTATTTATAATTGCTAAAACTAGTAATATATTAATAATTAGTTTTTGTTACATATATTGCCATATGATTTACTGAGCTAAGTGTTGTTGTATTTGGTCTTCAAATTCTATGAATATCATGAAAATTATCAATATTAAAACAATAAAAAATATTTGACTAAATAATATATAATATTTTAATTAATAAATTTAAAATAGAAAATAATATAAAATGAATAATTATAAAATACACCTATGGTGGTTTTCACCTATCATATGTTTTTATTATATTTTTTAAAATTTTTTAAGTTTTTATATAAAATTTTTAATACTAATTTTTGCACGTTAAAGTTAATATTAAAGTTAGGAT